TTCTTATCAACAAACAAATAATACCCTGGACCTCAGGGAAGAACAGTGTAAAAATACTGAGTATCCAGAATAAAGAAAGATTTCTAACTAACAAACCAAATATTTGATCATACCTTTCTTAAACATATTTGAAAATGTCTGATGGTTCTCGGCAAACCAGATGACAAAGTAAATACTTAGCTCCGCCTCCTCCTCATCTGTGTTCCGATATCAACAAAATAGAAAGAAAAGAGTTTAACAAGTCATCTATTAGGTGTTCCAGGTACTCTTTACAATTTATTATTATAATTAATATCGAGACAAAGGAAGTTTCTTCTTGCTCAAAAAATGAAAAAAATATGTTAATAACTATTGCTATAATTTTAAATGCACCCAGAAATGTTCATATTGCTTTTGATTTTATGCTGCTACAACACCTACAATTGACTTGATATTAAAATACATTATAAATAAACAAATTAAATAAATGCATTTCAAATAAAAAAAATAATAATGAAAAAAACTGAATGTAATAAAAAAAATTCAGTGTAATCTCCTATTCTAGTTATTTCCTCACCTCTTGTTCTGTTCTACTCTGCAGTTCTCTGCTTGTTGTATGATCCTCTTAAAGACTATCAAGGTTTGCAATATTCTTCCTAGAATTCTCCATGTTTGTTCATACTACTTGCTTCAAACTTTTTCATATTCTACCCCTGCAATGCATGGACTCTGCTGCCATTGTTTGATATGCTGAGGAGGAATTCAAAACTTGACTGGTTGAAAAATAATCATGTAAGGACAGACAGAAATATTAAAGTACTTTACCTTTTACACAGATTAATATTAAAGTGCTTTAAATATTTCACACATATTAATATCATTATGATTTACTAATGTAAAATAGTAATACCCCAGCCCTAAACATATTTTCAAATTTAAATTTTAATCTTCATGATGTGATTCTGTGGGGGCAGGAAGCATCTTAAAAAAAGGGGTGGGGCTGATTTTATCCTTCAGAAAACAAGGTGCTGGCAGCTTACACGTTCTATATATTCAACATCATGTCTCCAGAATAAGGATCTGCTGGCATTGGTGGCGCTATTTTTAAATTGAGGTATTACTGTATTTCTTTTACATCCAACACCAAGTATCTCACAAATATGGGATGGAATGATGCTTTGTAGACTTCATGAGAAAACCCTGTGATTGAACCCAGGACCTTTGGGATTGGAAGGTATGAATCTTAACCACCAAAAAATTCAGAGGCAAATTAGTTGCACTATGTGGGTTTAGTACTAAAATGACCATTAGGAGTTCTATTGTAATTTTTATATTCTCAATTTTCGCAGTGTATGAATCATTTTTTAACATGGATAGCGACACACGTTAAAAGCTTATGAAAATATAACTGTAATTATTCCTGCTGTCGCTCCATGGCTTGAAAATTAAAAGTAGCCAGCAAAAAACTAGAAATAAACTCCAAGCATATGAATAAATATTGTGGTTGATTTTGATATGACATTACCCTGCAATTCTGGTGGGATAATCTGACTCATAAGATGTTTGACGCTCCAACTGAAATTCAACGAAAATCTATTGATATTAATTAGAATCATAAACATAATATTTAAGTTAGTAGAATATATCACCTATTTTTTGATAACCTAAAAATTCACAATGAATACTAAATTACAACTGAAGGATATTTATCCCAAGAAAATATGAATTAGCAAGAAAACTATTTGAGAAACTTTTGTAAACCAAATTTTTCTTAATGCATACAAAGAATGCAATGATAATTATAGCACTTATTCCATTGAGCAAATAATATATCTATTCAACATTACTTGATGCCAATTAATTTTAACATCTGAATGGCAATTCAATTTTAAGATCTTGTACTTTTCTTTTTGAATGACTAATTGATATTGTATAATTTTGTTTTATTTTACAGTGTGTTTTATTTAATTGTATCTCATTTAATATGTCTACAGTATATTATTTAGCGAATGCATCCAATTATTACACTCCTATAAGTTAACATTACAAATCATCATAGTCATATACTGTACTACATTTACAGGTCTTTAATTCATCTGTGTTTACCTTTCTTTACAATTTGATTTAATATCTTTTAATTTTTTTTTTCTGGATGCACCAGCAGGTATCTGATGTGTACCACTGATATAAAAGTGAATCCAATAAATATATATTTTACAAAGTATGTAGAAGTACCGGTAAGTAAATAATAAAATAGTGGGCAAATGGTAAAGCTGTGGTTTCCAAGCAAAATAATATGTGTTTGTGTCTATTGATGATCAGTTGTGTCTTTGAGAAGTACTACAACCACGTTATGTTTCCCTGCTGAATTTAGCCTTAAATTTTTCATTTGTGGTTCTCCAAAGTTTAAGACAGATGCAATACCTGCAATAAACACTCTCTTCCTCTGATCTTTATGATGTTGGATTGCTGGAACTGGCTTTGTCCATTATTTTATTGTGATTTTATTTTAACATACATTATATACCAAATTTATTTAAATATTTTTTTATTGTTTAATTTCCTATTCAATTTTGGATTACAGTTTGCAATCACAATTCAAGACCACCTTTGGGACCTGAAAATTTGGGGTGGTCTCAGGGTTGGTCTCCAATTAGAGGGCTAGCTTTGTGTTTAAAAGGTTAAGGATTGTTATTTGGGTCTTTGGAAAAGTGGTCTTGAATTAGAGGGGTCTCAAATTGGAGGGTGCACTGTGCTTTTTAATTTAGCATTTTTATCATTATTTTTATTTTATTTAATTATTTCAATTGTTGATTAATAATTAATTGTCTTTATACATATTGTTATTCTGCTTTTCATATAATGTTTTTAATTTAATTGTGTATTTTATTTTTACATATTTTGTATGTGCCTTTCAAATGTTCTAATTGTGTTGGTTGATTAATCATTATTTTTTGGTTGTTGTTTTATATATTTGTAAACACCAATTAAACTGTTTTTTTTACAGCAATTTGAGATAACTAAACACTACTTTTATCTAGCTATTGGCATATTTTGCCACTTTATCTAAATTATTGGAATTCCTAGTTTTGCTTTCAAATTTGCATTTATTTGTACATTTGGCTACACTGTTTTCCTTGCTTCCCTTCCTGTCACTAATACTGATTTCAGTTAAAAATAAAAGTTTATGTATTTCCAGTAGAGTGTGGTTGAATGGGAAGAGCTTAAAAGAAAAGATTATTAAGCTATGACAAAAAAGTACACTACAGTACCTGAACTTTACAAAAGTTCAAATTCACTGCATGGCTGACTTCATGTCAGGCTTGATTGCTCTCACAAAGAAACTAGCCTATAAGGTCACATGACTATCGATAATCTCTGGAAAAACCCACTTCTATTTTCGGAGAGTCTGCACATCTACAGTTAAACAGAGAAATAAAGGTAAAAATTTTATTAATTTATGTTGTTTGATTCAATAGATTCAATAAATAACTTAATGATTCAGATAAATTTGAAAATACTGCCAATCAAATATAATTGTATCTGAGAGAAAATCCCTGCATATGAAAATATTCATATTTGAAATATGTTGCTAGAGCTATATCATAAAGCCTACTATATTAATTATTTTGTTTGATATTCATATTAAATATAAGTACATACATGCTATAAAATCAAGTATAAATCAAATACTTAAGTCCAGCCCCTGCAAAATAACTATATATTTAGAAAAAATAAATACAATGCAACATCCAAATGGTTTCACCTACCAACCCTAAATCTACATGAATTATTCTCAGATAAAGTGGACAAATGAATCACAATTTATCATTTACAGATTGCTAGCTGCATCGAGGTATAAAATATACTTCTCAGGCAATTGCTTATTTTACCCTCACCATGCATGAAAGTAGCAGTGGTTGCTATAGGATATACTTCCTGGGGGATAAGCTGCCTGACAGGAGGAGGGGCCTTGAGCTCCTAAACCCAAGAGGAGAGTTGGGAGGTGTCTTCAGTCTCAAATGAGTTTTTTTTTAAATAGGGACATTTGGATGGTCAGAAATGGCACTTTCAGAATGTGACAGACAATTGTTGGCTTGGGTAGGCCTTTTCGTGTATTTTTCAGTCTTGCCTGGGAGTGGGGGTGGGGCTTGACCTGTCTGGTTGGAGCTTTAATTCCCCTTACCTTCCCCTGGTGCACCACTGGAGAGGAGTTTGTAAAGCAAATAGCATCTAATGACAGTAGATTACTCAAAGTGGTGCAAAAGTTTACTTATATTAAAATTACCATAAATAATAAAAATAATATATAGACAGGTCTAAATGAGGTCTCTATGCACTGGAAAATAGTTATATAGAGAACAAAAAAAAAGACTGAATAAAATGCAAAGTAAAAACACAAAAAAACACCAAGCTAGCAACCAAACAAGTCCAATAACATGTCGAGAAAGATGAGAGTTGGAGGAGTAATTCGATCAATTGATTGTAAACTTTTTCTAAGGGGATCAAGTGAGAATCTAATTTCTAGGTCACTATTTTTGTGTAGCCAATATATTCCTTGCATAAGTCCTACTGTTTATTCTACCTCCACCTCTGCATGCCACTTAAATCTTTACTATGAATACAAAATTATCATTGACCACTACTCCCTAAAACAGGGCTTACATCGCCCTTGCAACTCGACTCAACTCAATTCAAGTGACTGCAACTGGCCATCAACTAGTTGCCAATTGCGCTCATGTCGATTTTCACTCACGATCGCGCAATTACAAGAAACTCAGTAGAATTAGTTACCAAGAGCGCTTAATGTCACCGCCAACTAACGGCAACTACTAAAAACCGGTTACTAGGTAACCACTTTGTCGAGGAAAATCCGCATTCACACCTAACTGAGAGAGCAGCTTAGCTCAGTTGGCTAATCTGGTGGCAGCCACTGTGTGTGCGCTAAACCGTAAAGATCTCTAGGTCGCCGGTTAAATTCCCGTTGCTGCCTCTTCTCATGTTTCAGCTAGAGGGCTCAAAATGCAAGTTACAATAGCGCACCGTCTTTCGGATGAGACGTTAAAGCCGTTGGTCCCGTTTGCATTTATGGCCCATGTGCACGTTAAAGACCGCAGTACACTCTTCAGAAAAGAGTAGGGGATTGTCTCCCGTTGTATTGCCCAATCACCACCAGAAGACTTTCGTAGGCTGCCCTTGGTAGAATAAATCTAATCCAATCCAATCCAAAGATAAACAAATTAAATAAATGATAAAAAAAATTAAAAACCCAGGGTTTCAATTCGAGGTTTTATGGTATTACAGAAGTCTTGTAAAAACCAGTACATTTTACATAAACCACGCCAACTAATTATCGGCGGTAGACGTAACTTTATAATCGACATGCACAGTAGCATTTTCAGTCACTTGCCAGTTGCTTTGAATTACTGCAATATAGAACATGGGCGACTAAAAGCAACTGAGGGCAAATGACAATTTCCAGTTGCTTTTCAGTTGCTTTCGATCGCAAAGTACGCTTATGTCAGCCTCAGTCATGTGACTCTCAGTAGCTCACAGTTGCTTGCCAGTTGCTGGCAAGTTGCCAATTGAAATGTCAGTTGATGTCAGTTGAGTTGAGTTGAGTCACAAGGGCGCATAAGCCAAGCTTAAGAATATGTATATTTGCATCGTCACAGAGGTTAGATTAAAATATGGTAGCTGAAATTTGTGCAAAAAATTATAAAATTAATGTTAAAAACATTATCACAGCGAAGCAGCGGTGGGACCAGAATTTTTCTAACGAAGGGTCCGACGTGACGGAAAAAGGGGTCCGAAAAATGAGCTACTGCACAAAAGCAGAGATGGAAGCTGGGAGTGCATACATCACCCCATTAATTTTTAAAATGCTCTCATAGATTAGAAGGTTAAAAGAATACAAAAAAATCAATATTTGTATCAGCTTTTTGTAAGAAGTCAACATTAAAACAATACATAGAATTGTACCTGTGTGTCTGAACATTTCTAAACTTTCCTTTAGAATCAGTACGGTAGTACTATAGTATTTAATTATTGCTATAATTTACACTGCTCAAATAATCGACCAGTAATTCAGCGCTGCCCTTTTATACTTTTAAAGACCATGTTGTACGTTAACACTGCCGATTGTAATTACAGCTGTTGACACAATTAATGTCGAAATATTGAATCCCGACACAATGGTGTGCATTTCGATATATAGATCGATATATATATACTGTAGTACATATTATACTATCTTGTAATTACAGTAATAGTCAATTACGGTAGTTCACTATGTATCGACTGTATACACTTTCCTCTTGACCGACTACCAAGAGATTTTGGCTTACACTAACCATGGAAAAATTAGTTTAGTTTCTGAACTAAGTCCTCCATGCCCTAACTTCATATTCCACAAGCAGCGAACACCACACAACATTCGCGACTGGTGAGAAGAAGTGTCAAGCATGCATGCATTATTCATGTTATCAGTTCACCTAAATGACCTTAAATAATGCCCTCTATAATTTCTGCCTGAACTGTATGGGGAAAAAAATAATGCGGCCAGAGCCACACTT